TCCACAACAAGAGAAGCCACCGCAATGAGAAGCTCGCACACTGCAACGAAGAATGGCCCCCGCTTGCCGCAACTAGAGAAAGCCCACACACAGCAAGGAAGATCCAACGCAACCAAAAATCAATAAAGTAAATAAATTTCTTTTAAAAAAGAGAAGGAGGTGGATTCTGAGCATGCTGCACTGGTAATCTGAGGTTGATTCCTCCCCAAATTCTAGGCTCATCTGTTAAACCTGGTTAGCAAAGTGTGAAGGGAAGAAAGGAGGATCTCTAGTAACCTGTACAGATTTGCTAAAAACAAGCTAACCTCATTTTTTGTTCAATTTTAATTTTTTATTCAAGTGTAATATACAAAAGGAACTGTACACATGTCATAAGTGTACAGCTTGATGAATTTTCAAACTGAGCACACGTGTAACCAGCATCCACATCAAAAAGGCAGCCCCCTGAACCTCTCGTGTGTTTCTCCCAGTCACTCCCCTGTGCCCCCCATGCACACGCTAAGGGAAATCACTGTTCTGACTTCTAGTAGCATAGATTAATTTAGCCTGTTTTGATGTAAATGGATATAAAGGGTATGTACTCTCTTGTGTTTGGCTTGTTCACTTAATACATTTGTGACATTCATCCATAATTTTGTCTGTAGCTGTAGATGGTTTTTTCTCATTTGCTGTTTAGTATTCCATTGTATTCATTTAGCCATTCTATCGTTGATTGGCATTTGGGTTGTTTAAATTTTTGACTATGACAATGGTATAGCTATGAACATTCTAGCATATATATGTACTAATTTCATTTGAATCATTATTTGATAGCATCATTAGATTTCTAGAGCAGAGACATGTGTATACAGATTTCAGAGAGGTTCTTGGCAAACTCTTGTGATATTCTTGTTGACAAGGTAGAAAAAGGCGGACTAGATAAAAAAAAATAGTTTGGTGGATTCCTGGTTGACGTTGTGGAATAATGACAGCAGAGAGGAAGATCTATAGTGATAGACTACAGGGCTCTGCCTATCCTAGTCAACATTTTTATAAGTGACTTCAGTGAAGATCCAGAAAGTTTGCCAATCAGATTTGCAGATTTCACAAAATTGAAGGCATTTGAACTAACTGATTAAAATGAAGGGGGAACTCCATTTCTGATAAATGGAAATGATGCCTAAAAATTCAGAGAGGAAAGTTACTAGGAACAAGTGTAAAGCCCCATATTTGGGATTAAAAAAAAAAATCACTTTTAATAGGCCCAAACACAGGGAGAGGGAAAAGCTGATCAGTTTGGGAGCAAAAAAAGGAGTTACAGTTGACGAGTTCAAACTGAGACTCCGTAGCCTGCAACAGTAGCTGGAGTTTTCTGTGTGGGTCTCAGTTTCCAGGGAGACACTGACAAAGTGCAATTAATACAGAGGAGTGAACTGGGCCGGTGAGTGGGAAACCATATTTATCACACAAGATGTTGAAGAACATAGGTCTTTGGACTGAAGAGGGAAGACTCAAGGGGAACGGGATGTCAGTCCTTAATGATAAGAAGGGCTTATCGTGATGTGCGAGAGGCTTCAGCTTGATGCTTTGTGGCTCCAGAGGAGAGGTCCAGGACAATTAGCGAGAAGTTGCGAGGGAGAAGTTTTTGGCTGGGTGGGAGGAAGAGCTATTGGTCTCTTTACAGACGGCATGAGTGGCCTAATAAATTGCTGAGGCTTTTACAGTCCCTGGGAATTTGAAGGAGAAAATGGCTTAAATAGCAGCCTAAGTTGTGTGTTATGTTGTATGTATTTAAAACTAATGGTGCTGGGAGAATTGTAGGCTGAATGTTCTTTTTCAGGGACTGTTTAGTTTGAGCATCTAAACTAAATCTGGGCGTCTGATCCTGAATGGGCCTGCAAGCTTTGTTCACTTCTGGATCAAGCCAGGCATCTGCTCTCCTTGCTTTTAGTTCTAGAGCTGATGCTGGGCCTCAGTGCTGGAACTAGCCTCCTCCTCCAGGGGCTCATGGAGGCTGGGTTTCATGACCATTCAGGAGCATCTCTTTAGATGATTATAGGAGTGACTTCTTCTCAGCTGCTTGTTCCTTCAAAGCAGGGGTCAAAGCAGGAATGGAGGTGCACCTGAGTCAAGGGTCTGAGGTGATTTTCAGCCCATCTTTCTGTGGTCTTGGCCCAGTGTTGGGTGGAGATTGAATTGCACCTAGAGGTAGGAGGGTAGGGCATCTCTGTCCTTGAGGTTAACTTGCAGTTGCCTCCATATTATTCTAACCCCATGTCCTACCCCCACCCTTTTCCCTGCCTCTGAAGCAGGAGGTCAGGCTCCACTTCAAGAACAGTGTACTTGGCTGGGCTCTGGGGCCACCGGTCAGCTGTATCCGCTGGGGGTGGGGACAGAGAGCCCAGTCAGCACTGCTGCCTGCCATTCCCATTTCCTGCTGCCACGGCCAAGAGGCCCTGTAGGAAGCTGAGCGCTGGGGAAGATGAGGGCCAGCGCTCTTTCCAGAGGATTCCCTTCTTCGTTCAAACCGAACCTCCTGTGCTCAATACAGAGAGCAGATCCGGGCAAGATGGTGGGTCAGTGGCTGAGAACAAAGCCTCAGGAGTGGGGGAGGAGGAAACACTGGTGGGTAAGAGGAAGGATACAGATGCATGGATATAGAAGTAGACTAGAGAAGCTGTAAGGATTAAAATGTAAACAATCCATGTATTTTCTTTTCAGAATTTGTTGTAGTAAAGGATAGGAGTTGGCTCTTCCTTGGACAGAGCTGAGAACAGAAGCATGTGGCATGTGGTTACAGACTGACTCTGAACCAGAACCAGTCTCTTAATTCTCAAGCCTATCCCAGTTTAGTGTTGTCACCCTGGTGACCCTGAGGGCTACTCATGAATTTTTTTTAAAATTTATTTATTTTTGGCTGCATTGGGCCTTCGTTGCTGTGCGCAGTCTTCTCATTTCGGTGGCTTCTCGTTGCAGAGCATGGGCTCTAGGCACGCGGGCTTCAGTAGTTGTGGCACACGGGCTCAGCATTTATGGCTCATGGGCTTTAGAGCTCAGGTTCAGTAGTTGTGGCACACGGGCTTAGTTGCTACACAGCATGTGGGATCTTCCCGGACCAGGGCTCGAACCTGGGTCCCCTGCATTGGCAGGCGGATTCTTAACCACTGCGCCACCAGGGAAGTCCACCCATGAATTTTAATTAGGGGACCCCATTCCCTTGTGAATATGGTAACTCCAGTTGTCCCAGATGCTTCTAATCCAACCTGGCTTGAGTTATATTAGTAAGCCAGCAGCAGAGCCCGAGGGTGAGGGGTGGAGGTTACAGGATGGAGAGAAGAGGCAGGAGGCAGAAGTCCAGTGGGGAGTAAAGGAGGGGTGACCGGCTGAGGAGGATCAGCAGATCTGAAAGATTTGCCCGTTTTATGGGATGCTTGTGGAGACTACATGCTTGTGTCTTTATTAACACTACGTTGGCCTGGAGTTGTGGGTGCATTTTTGCCCAGCCCTGTGATAAGGTTTGGTTGTTTGTTGGCTTGTTTATTAGGCAGAAAGGCAAGTGTTTGTTTGGGACAGGAATGCCCCCTTTCTGCAAGAGCGGAAAAGAACTTGGGCAGTAAGGGAGGGGGAGACAGAAGGTGAGACAGCTGTTCTGAGGGGCTGCTCTTTCCTGCCTCTCAGGATGAAGTAGCCTCTGGGCCAGAGTGTGATGAGACCAGGACACAACAAAACATAAGGGCTGGGGACACTGAGGGCCACACCACTGCCAGAACTGAGACAGGGAGTGCTTGGGACTGAGTTGGTGCCCTGAAGCAGGCAAGCCCAGCACTTTCTCCTCTGGTAAGGCAGGCTGGCTCTGATCTTGTCTTCGCAGCCCTTGGGAGAACGGCTGTTAAGCCCTCCTTCTAGTGCTCCAGTTGCTGAGCTGGGAAGGAGGGAGCAGTGAAACGATCCACTTTGCCACAGCGGGGAAGGTGCGGGGTATGTGGCTGCCTGCTTGTTTAAGAGGTTGGTGGGGGATTGAGGAACGTTCTGCTGAATTTCAGACTTGTTTCTTTTGATTTTCTTCCCCTCTTGAATTTCTTCTTCTGAAGCAGCAGATTATAGCTTTTTTGGGGGGGTGGGGTAGTAGAGTTCTCTGAGATTCTGGTGAAAGTTATCGACCCTTTTCTTAGAACAATGCATATTCTTTGGACATATGTACATAACACTTTACAAAGAATTTCAGGCCTGTGGAAGCCCTAGGTTAAGAACCCTGCCTCTAAGGGCAATCCATGAATTTTGCTGAAGCTCATCCAAGTAAAGGGATTGCCTCTACCCCAGGATAGAAGGACTTGAGGAATGTTTGTGGCTCTGACTTTTGCATTGTCCAGTCAGGAAAAATGCCCCATCCCCCTTCTGTAGGAACCTCAGTTCCAAGAGTCTTTCCAAGCATGAAAACAAGCAGCTGAGCTGGCCGGCAGTAGCAGGAAGTCTGGCCTCCAGCCTAATCCTGGCCACACATCCTGACCTGCTAGCCCAGACGTTGGATAAGTCACAACAGGACTCATCAAGGTTAACAGTAATCCCACAGCATCAGAGTGTTGGGTCCTGGAGCCCATATAAGGGGATACAGGGCTGGAGAGGGTGAGAGACCATGACTTTTCAGAGCCAACAGCTGGAACGCATCACTAATCCTGTTCCGCTACCAGTTGCCTCCTATTGCTGTGAGCACTTTTGTGCGTAAGCAAATCCAGTCGCTTTGTTTTGTGTCTCTTGTATAAGTGCTGAGGGCGTGTGTGTGTGTGTGTGTGTGTGTGTGTGTGTGTGTTGCTGTGTACACAGGTGCTCAGCAAGAGCCTTTGAATGATAATGGTGAGGGCATTCTGGGCAGAGGTTTCCAATGAAGAGCAGGTCAGAGCCCAAACAGTTCCGTCTTTGGCCAAAGGCTCTATTTTGGTGACTGGTACCAGAAAAACTGCTTGGGGGTCTAAGGCCCTCTGGACGGTGGGGCCAGTCACCAATCAGTATTATTTTTCTTTCAGGTCTCTTAACCTTCATTAACTGTGCCTATGTCAAGTGGGGAACCCTGGTACAAGATGTTTTCACCTACGCGAAAGTATTGGCACTGATCGCCGTCATCATCGCAGGCACTGTTAGACTTGGCCAGGGTAAGAAATAAGAGTGACAGCAACTAATGTCTGTTAAGCATTTTCCATACGCCATACCCCTCTAAGTGACCTCTGTGCATGATTTCATTTAATGGGTACTATTATTATCCCCATTTTATTTTTTTGGCCATGCCCCAAGGCTTGCAGGATCTTAGTTCCCCCACCGGGGTTGAACCTGTGCCCCCTGCCATGCAAGCACGGAGTCCTAACCACTGGACCGCCAGGGAAGTCCCTGAAGTCCCTAGCTTAAGTAGTGGAGCTGAAATCTGTACCCAGGCAGACTGAGCCCAAAGCCTGTCCTGTCATTTCTCTGCATGCTGCCTCCCAGAGGAGGTTGATCTGGGCAAAAAAGAGCCATATCCCGGGAGCCAGCTTTTGCGGATTGTCGAGCCCAATGCTGTAGCTCTGACTGTTCTCCCTTGGGAGCAGACAAGGGCAGAAATGAACCTCTTGTACCCACTCCTCTACCAGTTTCCAGGTGTGAACACCTACCCTGCAACTACTCTGTTGACTGGGCATACTGAGCCCTGCCCTTCCTCCACTCCGTATCAGCTGTCTGGGTTAGGAAGGGGGCAGACAGAACTGCATCACCCCTGTTCTCCAGCCCTCTGCTCTGTCGTGGATCCTTACTCTAGAGAGCCACCGGGGTCCTTCCTGTCAAGACCCCTGTGCTGCTCCCTGCACTCTGGCCCATCACTGTAGCTGTCTCTCTTCTGCTCCCCATTCTTTCACTGGTACCCTTGCTGCCAAGGTGTTGTAAGCCACACACATTCTGTTATCGTCACATTCTTCCTCTCCTTTACCGGATCACCTTGTAGTTGGGGTGTAGGCCACTAATCCTTATGCCTTTCCATATTCTCTGGGTTCCAGGAGCCTCGACTCACTTTGAAAATTCCTTTGAGGGTTCATCATTTTCAGCGGGCAACATTGCTCTGGCACTGTACTCGGCTCTGTTCTCCTACTCGGGCTGGGATACCCTCAATTATGTCACCGAAGAGATCAAGAATCCTGAGAGGTAGGTACCTCACCATCAACTTTCCATGGCAATGATAGCCATCATTTATTGAGCTCCTACTGTGTGCCAGACAGCATACCACAACTAGTTGATTTTATCAGTGTCATTTTAATAGACTGCAGGCCGGAGGCCCAGAGAAGTAACTTGTCCATGATCACAGCAGCAGAGCTAAGAGGTGAACTTTCTCATGTGTTAAAAAAAATTTTTTCTTCACAGGCCTTTTCTCATTTGTTCATGCATTTCTGCATTAATCAAAGCAAATTGTACCATGTGCTTGTGTATACTTTATTTTTATTTATTTATTTTTTTTTGCGGTACGCGGGCCTCTCACTGTTGTGGCCTCTCCCATTTGCGGAGCACAGGCTCCGGACGCGCAGGCTCAGCGGCCATGGCTCACGGGCCCAGCCGCTCCGTGGCATGTGGGATCTTCCCGGACCGGGGCACGAACCCGCATCCCCCGCATCGGCAGGCAGACTCTCAACCACTGCGCCACCAGGGAAGCCCCTTCCTTTCTCTTCTGATCCCTTCCTTGTTTCTCAAATTCATACTGACTTTGAATTGTGGTATTGTTTGTTTCAGGACACCATTTTTACTCTGAATTGCCCTGTAGTCAAGCAGAGTAAAAAGAACTCTGGGCAGGGAGTCAAAGGGCCTGGACCTGTCTTTCCACTGATTTGTTGGATGACCTTGAGGGAATCCCCTGCCATCTCTGCCTGCTCCTTGTCTGTAATTGAGGGGGTTGAATTATATGATCTCTAGAGCTTTTCCTGGCTCTGAAATTCAATGATTCTAGGACCTAAGATTTGCCAGGGAGTGAGGTTTCTATAAATTTCTAAGTCAAAATAATAATAATAAACACCTTTTGGCTTTGAGAAACAGAGTATTCCTGATACACATCTAGTGCTGCAACCCTGGGAGCAGATGATAGCAGATCGAGGCCTGGGCGGTGCTTCCACCTACAGGACAGAAACTGAATGACTTGAGTATTTGCCCCCCTCTCACTGTGAAGAACGTTTATAAAGATCATGGCTTTATTGGGCCAGAGGGACCTTGAGACGTCTGTTTTTCTCTTGGCCTCTGGTTAGGACGGCACTCAAAGCTCTCAAACTGAGTAAGGGGGCGGGGTGCACATATTTCCCAGATTGCTCGCTCAGATACACATTGTTCTTTCTACTGAGGACCTGTATTATTCTCTGGCGAGGCTAGACTGCAGTTCCCCTCTATAATTTCTTCTTTCATATTTAACCTTAATACAAATTTTTCAGTGTTGACAGCCTTAGAGGAGGAATCCTGATACTAAGAGACCTCTAGAGTAAAACAAACAAAACTTTCCTGTGCTATTATCATGCTGTGACACAGTCATCAATCCTTTTTCCTTTTTTTGTGTAGGCCTTTCTCCGAATGTGATGTTCCTCTCCCTGATGCTCTTTAGTTCTTGAGTTCAGAGCTTAAGCCACTATCCTATCCTATCCTAGGCAACTTCAAAGGCAAAAGCCCTGGGGAATTGCCACGGGAGGCCCCATCCCCGGATTAGTGGGGTGGAGTCTGAGAATGAAAGGACAGTGGGGAGGAGACTGTGGGGCTAATATATCCACTTTTCTGTTTGGCTGTAGGAATCTGCCCCTCTCCATTGGCATTTCCATGCCCATTGTCACCATCATCTACATCTTAACCAATGTGGCCTATTACACCGTGCTCGACATGAGAGAGATCCTGGCCAGCGATGCTGTTGCTGTGGTAAAGGATTTTCACTAGCAGAAGGGTGAGGGTGTGTTTGTGGGCTTTGGGTATCGTGCTGCTCTTCAAAGTCCCAGAAAGCGGGTAGTCCTTGAAAAGAGTATGCTTAGAGTACTGGGCTTGCGAGGTCGTTAGCCCTGCTGTGGAAGAAAGGGTTGGGTTGCTAGCAGGGGGCACCAGGGGGCATGCTTGTCCTTGCCTTCCATCCCTGTTAGGTCCTGCTAATGACTCTTTTCCATTCCTTTCCCTTAGACATTTGCAGACCAGATTTTTGGAATGTTCAACTGGACCATTCCAGTGGCAGTTGCGTTATCCTGCTTTGGTGGCCTCAATGCCTCCATTGTGGCTGCGTCTAGGTACGAGTGTCACCTTTTACTGAGGGGTAAAGTGAAGAGCTGTGGCAGGGCAGGGCAGGACTTAACAGGACCCAGACTTTAGTCACCGCGATCCCCAAGTGACAGTCACAACGCTTTGGCCTTGTTCGCATCAGCAGCCTCCAGTTCTTACAAATCTCAGTATTGAACTCCGTTCCAAATTATTCAAACCCTTTTGAAGGAGGGGATGCCAGAGAGGGAGGGCCTTGTGGCACAAGAACCAGGCCACACCCACGTCCCCCAAGTTTCTCAGCCTCTCCTATCTTACCCAAAATAGGCTTTTCTTTGTGGGCTCAAGAGAAGGCCATCTCCCTGACACCATCTGCATGATTCATGTTGAGCGGTTCACACCAGTGCCGGCTCTGCTCTTCAATGTAAGTGGTCTCAAGACTGGGGCTGAAAGCCAGATTGTGGGGGAACTTTAGTAGCAGTAGATACAACTGTTCTTAGCTCCCCAGAAGCTCTAAAGAAGATTCTAATAGAAAAACTGTTGATGGACCATCCACTGTGGGCAAGGCACTGTGCTGTAACTGCTGCAGTGGTTTATTTATTTATTTAGGTTGTGCTGGGTCTTTGTCGCAGCATGCGGACCCTTGGTTGTGGCATGCACGTGGGATCTAGTTCTGAGACCAGGGATTGAACCCGGACCCCCTGCGTTGGTAGCGTGGAGTCTTACCCACTGGACCACCAGGGAAGTCCCTGCTGCAGTGGTTCTTGAAAGAATCCATATTCTCTAAGGAATGGTGACCTCCTCTGGCCTGGGATGAGGCATAAAGTTCATGGAATACACTGTAACGACTGCCGTGGCAGACAGTGATGTAGTGTTCAAGGGAAGAAATGGTCACTGTGGGGGTAGAGGGTGAACAAGGAAAAACTTCCTGGAGAAAGTGAATTTGAAGTGGATTTTTAAGGTTAGGGTTGCAAATGGTAGCGATGGATGGGCTTTAGGTTGAAAGAAAACAGCATCAGAAAGTCCGGAGGTTAAGCAGTGTGGAGTTGGGTAGCAGAAGGTAAAAGCTGGAATTGTATGTTGGAGCCATTCTGGAGAGGCTCTGGGGCAAAAGCTATTTGAGGAACTGTTTTGAGCTGTGCTGTACAGAGGATTAACCTGGCAAGAGTTTGAAGAATGGGCTGAAAAAGGCTACTGACTTAATAGGAAAGGAGCGAGGTGTTGAAACTAAGGTGGTAAACGGGGTGGGAACAGAAAAGGACAGTTGGGGAGACTGAGGACTTGACAAGGGGGTGGATTTGTGGGAGATAAGGGGACTGGCAAGTGCCTTGCGTGACAGGCCTTGAGAGGAACTGATGTGGGCTTGCGCCTGCAGGGTCTCATGGCGCTGATCTACTTGTGTGTGGAGGACATCTTCCAGCTCATTAACTACTACAGCTTCAGCTACTGGTTCTTCGTGGGGCTCTCTATCGTGGGTCAGCTTTATCTGCGCTGGAAGGAGCCTAACAGGCCTCGTCCTCTCAAGGTAGGACCTCTCCATCCCACCTCTGCTGCACCCACTCCAGGGGATTCTTACATTTATTCAGAAACCTTTGCCCGGAACTTGACGGTGGTTCCGAGTTGAGAGGAAGGGGATGACAAGAACACTCAGTGCTCTGCTGTTCACAGGTGGGGTTTTCTTGGCTGTCCACCCTGAGCTGTCTAACCTCCACTTGTTTCTTCTGTGCCCTTAGCTCAGCATTTTCTTCCCCATTGTCTTCTGCTTCTGCACCATCTTCCTGGTGGCTGTTCCACTCTACAGTGATACCATCAACTCCCTCATCGGCATCGGCATTGCCCTCTCAGGCTTGCCCTTTTACTTCTTCATCATCAGAGTGCCAGAGCACAAACGACCTCTTTGCCTCCGCAGGATTGTGGGTAAGCCTTGGGTCCTCAAGTCGGCTCAGCTATTGTACGGCCTGGTTTTTTTTTTTTGGCTTTTTCTGCAAATCTAGTCTCCCAAATCACCTTCGCCATAGCTCCTACCCGTTGTTGAGGCTTAACTGTAATTGTCCCCTCGGGCCCAGCCCCATTCAGTGCCACCTGAACTCAGCCCAGTTGACCTCTTCTGTTTTGACTCAAACTTCTCTTTGTAGCATCTGCCACGTGGTATGTCCAGGTCCTATGTATGTCAGTTGCTGCAGAGATGGATTTGGAAGATGGAGGAGAGACGCCCAAGCAACAAGATCCCAAGTCTAACTAAACACCACGAGAAATCCTGAGATGTGGGCAGCAGGGGCCTCATCTCCTATTGGCTGGAGCCAAGGAAGCTGAAAAGCTCACTTCTTTGGAGGCGTCTGTCCAGAAGCCTCTTAGGCAGCTTCAACAACCTCTGAACTTGCTTTCTGAGAGATGGAGAGTAATTTATTTGTTTTGCTACATATTGTTCCGTATTTCTTTTAAAGGGACAATAAAGCAGACTGTGATGGGGAGCATGCCAGGTGTGGGCCTGGATGTTCCATTGGCACATTTCCACGTGTTAAGACATCCACTCACCTCCAGTGTGCCTGCCCACTCCTCTTTCCCACTGAAAGACCCAATAATGCTCCAAACTTCCCGTCTCCTTTAGAGAGACGTCAAACTGTCAAAGGTGCTAGACAATAAAAGGGTATGTTCCTGAGCTCTGAAATGGCTTTTTTTAAATTAATTAATTAATTTTTGGCTGTGTTGGGTCTTCGTTTCTGTGCGAGGGCCTTCTCTAGTTGCGGCGAGCGGTGGCCACTCTTCATCGCGGTGCGCGGGCCTCTCACTATCGCGGCCTCTCTTGTTGTGGACCATAGGCTCCAGACGCGCAGGCTCAGTAGTTGTGGCTCACAGGCCTAGTTGCTCCGCGGCATGTGGGATCCTCCCAGACCAGGGCTCGAACCCGTGTCCCCTGCATTAGCAGGCAGATTCTCAACCACTGCGCCACCAGGGAAGCCCCTGGCTTCATTTTTATATAGTGTCTCAAGGACAGCTCCCATTAGCCTGGCAGGAAGACTAAAAACAATCTTATGCTTGAAAGAATCTGAGTATTTCTTTCTCTCTTGAGCCAGTTGCTGAAGGCTGATGCAACCAGTCTCTACACAAGAGAACACCTAAGCTGCTGTAGCAAAATGCTAGGTTGTTCGATAAAAGCTTTATCAACTTCCTCTTAATTATCACTAAAAACTTAAGCATATCTACTTCTTGAAGAATATTTTATAGGTAATCTTGGGGTAAATGAATGTGGTTCCTCCAGATACAGTCTCCGCTTACCATGCATACCTCTGACCACAAAGCAAGTATGGACGGGACAACACATCTAAGCCCTTAATGCCAGGCTACAACACTGAGATGCCTCCTAAGAGCATGCGCCAACAAGAACAATCATCACCCAACCTATTCTTTTCTCTGAAGCACTCAGTCCGTTTCCCTGTTTAATAAGTGTCAGGGAGCAGCACGTAATACGGAAGTTTACTAACTCAGCGGATGGGAAGATCACTTGGCTCCCCAGTGTTCTTTTACACTTAGGTGGAAGAGTCTGTAGTGGAATCCACTTTTAAAATGAACATCAACATGTCCCACAGTTTCTAGGTCTGGGGCAAGGACCCAGCATCAGTTCTTGTTCTAAGGCTGAGTCTCTCAAGAGAGAGAGTTCCTGCCAGTATGAGCAGGGAAGAGAATTCAGCCAAGTGTGTCACTCCAGGGATGCTTTGACTTTGGTTTGTTGCTGCTGCTATTGGGGGTGTTGGGAGGTCCATTCTTTCCATGCTGTAGCAGAGGGTTGTGGGTAAAGGTCTGTCGTAAGGGACCTGGGGGAAGGAGAAAACCAATCTCGATGAACAAAGGAAAGGAAGAAACAAATGACAGAGTTTAGCCTGCAAGTGTTATTTACCCCTGGCTGCTAGCTCCAAGTGATTCCGCATGCGTCGTTCACGCTCCTGTAGCTGATGTGCCATTTCGGCATTCTTCCAGCCTGTGTAAAAAGGATTAAGGCAGTTTGGTCGTGTACCCACTTCTAGGCCACTCTCCCCAGTTCCTATTCACGGAGGACAGGCCCTTACCTGTTTTGAAGCTCTTTATGAAGCCTTCCTGGGGAGGTAATTTGTCTGAGTCATGCACAACACGCTGGGGGATTTTAAGTACAGTGCGTACAGCTGGAATACGGAGGCAGGCCACCTGGCCCAGGGAAAATACGTTGGAGGACAGCCAGTACATGAACACTGCCTGGATGAGAAGGAAGAGAAGGTACTCAGAAGCTGCGTCCCTGGGCAGCCTGCCGGGAGACTTGGAGCCAGCCCCTAAGACATTACTTACCGCGGGGAAATGGATAGTTATGGGCAAGACTGCCAGGGGCATCAATCTGATAAAATTTCTCATCCACTGAAGGTCAGAACTTTGCACGCCAGTTTCAGCACCTAGCTGCAAAAAAAAAAAAAAAAAAAAAAGCAGGGGAAGAATAGTAAATGCATGGCAATTTTAGTTGAATGTGGCTCAGATTTCTTACCCATCAACTCTATTTCTCCAGGGAGTGAAGAATGACCGTTCTATAACTACTTTCCCCTCACTCCCCATTCTGCAGGCCTGGCACTCGGCGAACCTGGGCTTACCTCAAGGACACCCCACATTGTAGCAGTGACCACCAGAGGTAACATGTAAGTGGGGTCAGATAGTGTGAGATCCTGGAACCACCAGAGGCCACCTGTCTGCAGGCTGGGCACAGGAAGGTTAGCCATTTCTCTCAAGGCAATGAAGAAAGAGATGAAGATCGGGGCCTATGACACAGGATAAACAGTGTCAGGACCCTTTAGTAGAAGGGACATTTTAATTACTCCGTTACTGAAACCCATGTAGCATAGTATCACCACCACATGCTTTTTTGGGGGGTCTAGGGCATGGGAAACACAGAGGAGTAATCTGATTGGTTCTGATGAAGTTAAAGAAGGGAAATGTTTTTTGCTCACCTGAGTCAGAGGTAGAATGAGAGGTCTGAAGAGTTTAATATCATGCTTTTTCTGGTAGAACGTCATCTCCGAGGAGGCCCTGTAAACTGTGAAGGGAGTGGAAGCTAACAGCTGGGCTAACAGCTAGGTTGGAGGAGGTGACCATCCTCATCACCTGGCCCATGAGAATTCTAACTGACCCTGGCCAGTCATTGGAAGCATTAGGCCTAAGAAGCAGGTAAATCTTAGAACTCGCCCAACTGTAGCAACTCCTGATTTAGGCTGTTCCCCCAACCTGAGCTGAATGTCAGGGAAAGTGCCAATGTGGTCCTCACCCATGCTCATTCTGCAACTGACTCACATTCAGTATGGTTTCCTGTCAACTTGGCCTCTCTGATTCGAGCGGAAAACTTCTGAATCTCTGGCAAGTGGTTGTGGATGTTAGCTGCCTCTCGCTGGCCCTTCACGATGAGAGGAAACACCAGGCAGCGGGCAAGGACTGTACCTGGAAAACACGAACGAAGACTGGAGTGAAATTCAAGCCATTCTGCAGCTAGAAGGCTGAAGGTTTTTAGGTCCTCACTGAAAGGGTCTCCTAGCCCAGACTTTTCCACCCTGTGACTCGTGCCCAAAGGGCCCCAAAACAACGGGTACGGGTATGACAGTTCCTTCGAGGCTCAGTCTTCTGCTTTGACGTCAAAAGTCTGGCATTAACTTCTCTAGGCAAATGACCAGGAATCTTGTTTCCTTGAACAAAAAGGTGACAGAAGCCACTTTTGTAGATCAGTGGTTTCCAAACTTTTCTATGATCAGTGGACTCCTTTTTTCCCCAACTCTAAGTGTAACCCCAATATACATAACAGATAAAATCAAGCTGCCCTGGGTGAGGAGGTAGTCTGACTACAGATTTTTCAAGCTCTGGCCTTTGCTTTGCTCAGAAGCACTTTTACAGAACTCTGGGGCTCGCAGGAATGAAGTCTGAAAGCCACTGTTCTAGAAATGCCTGCAGTAGGAGGTAATCTGGTGGCCTACTGCTTTAGCTCCCTCCTATTTCTTTTCTTACACTTCACATTTCTTGATCATTTCAACAAATATTTATTTAGTTGATGGTATCTGTGGGTAAGCAAGTGGGCCTGGGCTGAGAAGAGACCAGGGGGAGATACAGGTTTAGGCTTTATCAACATTATGATGAATGGTGTGAAGTGGACAGAGAAGGGAGCTAAGGATGGAACCTGGAATCCCAGCACTAAAGGGGCAGGTAGAGTACTGAGCAATGGAGATGGGAGGGTGTGGTCAGAAAGACAGGAAGAAAATCTACAAAGATTGTCGCAAAAGCCAAGGGACAGGGCTTCTCTGGTGGCACAGTGGTTAAGAATCCGTATGCCAATGCAGGGGACACGGGTTCGAGCCCTGGTCTGGGAAGAACCCACATGCTGCGGAGCAACTAAGCCTGTGCGCCACAACTACTGAGCCTGCACTCCAGAGCCCTTGAGCCACAACTACTGAGCCTGCATGCCACAACTACTGAAGCCTGCGTGCCTAGAGCCCGTGCTCCGCAACAAGAGAAGCCACCTCAGTGAGAAGACCACGCACCTCAACGAAGAGTAGCCCCCGCTCGCCGCAACTAGAGAAAGCCCGCATGCAGCAATGAAGACCCAACACAGCCAAAAATAAATAAATAAAGTTCTAACCCTAAGCCCCCATTTCCCCTACTGTTGTACAAGATATATCCCCCTTACATGCAGCAATGGCCCCCCACCAAGGTAGGCCTAGGTTAACATGCATAAATTCCAGTAAGTTCTGGATCAGTCCCACTGGGGTGTATGACCCCAGTCCAAGCTCAGTGAAGCTCTGTTCTGCAGCAGCCAGGATGATATCTGCAGTGTCTCCAGAAGCCACCTCAGGTACTGCTGTAGGTGGGGGAGTTGCAGGAATGACCGGAGGGGCCTGAACCTGTGGGGAAAAAGGAAAAAAAAAAAAAAAAAAAAAAAAAAAGCCAGGCGTTATATTCGGGCAGGGAGGGACACACACATAGAAATCGAGGTCCCTCTTATTATAACCAATACTGGGGTACTCTCTTGACTCCCTGTTTCTCGTTCTCCCCTAGCCTACATTGTCATAGAATTCAAAGCTTAAAAAGAACATTTTATGCCAGGAAGTCAATTAAAAAAGTACATTATTTTCCTGGATTTTGTAATGCTTGTGGTATCTGTCAGTTTTTAAAAACCATTACTTTGTAAAGATTTCTTATTCTAAATAAATATTCCCACTCATTTTTTAAGAAAGGATATTTTATTTTCCCCTCTAGGCAGAAAGATAAGTTACTCAAAATAAGACTTCATGATTCTCCTTCATGTTGGGAAGTTATTTCTTGTGCATTTTCCAAACTTCAGTCATTTGAGTATCACTGGCACAATTCTGCATACACTGAAACTATTATAATTTTTCTTTAAACAACTCAGTTTTTAAGATCAAAAATATCTACTTGGTCTCATCCTGAGAAATATTAATGTCCATGAAATCAGGGACATACAAGTTATAATCAAAGATATACAATTATAAATTGTGTCAACTGAAAAAAAAAGCACGACCTAAAAGTTGAGAACTGTGTGTTATTTGGGGCATTACTGAGGACTTAAGTACAGGACAAAGCCTCTCAGCTGTGAGAGACTGTTCTGAAGAGGTAAGGGAGAAGCCAGGATGTATATGAGTTTTTGCAAACAAACAAAAAAACAACCCCAAAAGCCAGGTAGTCAAACACCAAAAAATTACTGCTAATTAAATAAAAACCAGATGTCTCAGGTTAATGAATTTAGTGCTTTTCTATGTATGGAAAGACACCAGAATTTGGGTTTACTGAAATCATTCCTTTGATTTGTACCTTAACTATCTAGGGCCAGTATTCTGTTTCTCCATCCTGACTTCCCTCAGGGTGCACTGTTGGGGGTGACTGCAGTGGCTGATGGTCCCAACATCCTTTGTTTAGTGATAAGACAGGTGACATTCTTTGTCCTCAGCACCTCCTTCTAGGCCATAAACTGGACCAACAATTGGGAGGCACTTCATGACCGATTCTGTCCCATGGCACTAGGAAGGCTGATTCGTAGATCAGGCGAAGATTCTGCTGATAGGCTACTCAATTTGCTAATTTTTGGATCAGGCCCTGTTGATAATCTAAAATTCTCTGGATCACCTGGATGAAGAATATTGCCTGCGGTATCAGTAAATAAAGGATGCTGCAGCCATCAAGCCATCAGCCACCCTCAACTGTATACCCTGAGGGGATTCAGGATGGAGAAAAACAACACGGGTGCTATACAGTTAAGGTGCACATCAAAGGAATGATCTCAACAGGCCTACTCTTAAATCATTCCACACATAGAAAAGTACTAAACTCATTCACTTGAGATGTCTGGCTTTTAACACTAATCTTTTGATGTTCTGACTACCTGGTTGTTTTTGCAAAATTCCTACATATCCTGGCTCCTCCCTTTCCTCTTCGGAGTAGTCCCTCGGAGCTATCTCAGAGGATGTCCTCTGGCTTAAGTCCTCAGCAAGACCACTGAATAAAACATAATTCTCAACTTTTAGGTTGTGCATTTGTTTTTCAGCCAACAATTTTGGTGACCACGAAGGGAACCAGAGCAGAACTCTCTCCTTTGCCCAAACTCTAAGAGGATCCAGGGCCTGGTACCAGCAGAGGCCTCTTGGGCCTGTCTGCCTCCTTGGAGAGTCCAGATGAATTTGGGTGATTCTTGGATCTCCTGATTATTGGTTGATGATCCTGAGTTTTATCTGGCAGCGTCTAACTGCCCAGTTGAAAGCTACTGGGGAAACCAGGTGGAAAGACTGGGAGTTGCTCAGTTGAGACAATAAGGAGTCTGGACTGGGTGATTAGGTGAGAGGCTGGCCTAACATCTTTGCCTCCAATTAAACACTCTCGCCAAGTCTATGTATGTACAAAACTTATACTTACAAGTACTCACTTAATTGGGAATTAAAGGAAATCTTGCCCTGAAAATAGCCCACATGGGGCTTTTTTTTTTGCTGCATCTCATGGCATGCGAACTTCCTGGACCAGGGATCAAACCCACACCCCCTGTAGTAGAAGCGATTAAGGACCACCAGGGAAGCCCTGGGGCTCTTTTACTGCATACGCAGTTAAGTTAGAGAAAGCAGCTTGATAAACCATCTTTTCAGAATTCTGACCTTAAAGAAATAAAAGCCCTTCTGGGGGAACTTCCAAGTCCCTCCCAGTGTCTGAGATGTAAATGTTCTACTTGATCTTCTTAAGTGTGCGAGTGCGCACATGTGTGTTGTGTTTTGTGAGAACTTGGTCTCTGCCATCCAGAAGGTACATATATTCTGCAGCCAACTGAACAGACTGAGATTCTGAGCAGTCTTTTTCCGGACTGTGCGAACTCTCAGGGGCTTTTTGCCATTTTAACTTTTGCTGCGTCAGCCTGTACAACAAAGGCCTTTACTTTCTTGGGCTATTTTTGGGAGTAAACCTTCTGTATCTTGGTTAGGTGGCATCCTTCGCACTCTCTTGTGGGGATGTTTCTTTCGTCCTATTGGTCTGAATCACAATTAAGATATATCTCATTAATGGCCAGATGACAGGTCTTTTAAATTGGAAAAGCTCTAAACCAGTAAATCTTTAGAGAGTCTCATTATAAACAGCTGTTTTATCAGGACCCATGGAAAAACCAAATTAGAAGGTGGAAAAATATATATAATGGTTAACCTAAGAACTCCTTTAGTTTAAACCAAACAAAAAACTGGCTTGGGAAGCCTTATTCCTGGTCTCTGCTTCCCCTCAATGGGTGTTATAGATGCTAAAAAAAAAAAAAAAAAAAATCAATAATGTTAATTAGGTTCATTAACAGGGAAATAAGAAAAAACCGAAGGGAAGGTCTAGAGACTTTTTCCCAACAAGGTGGAAATTTTAAAGGGACTTGTCCCAAAAGATAAGAAGTCTCTAGATGGTTTTTAAGAAATGGAATAAATAAAATGGACATTAATGGGACTAAAACAAAAGGTTTTGGTACAATACTACCTAAAGTTGGATGGCCTTTAGCCCCCTTTAGGGATTCCCATTGATCTTCAACATTAAGGGGCCCCAAACAAGTCTGCTGCTCTATTTATCCCAATTAAAAATAAAAATGTATGTTTAAAAGGCTGGAAGAAAATTTCATTGAGATATCTGACCAACAATTACTTGGGGCAACATATAGGCCAATTAGTCAAATTAAAAGATTGACAGGGATTTCCCTGGTGGTCCAGTGGCTAAGACTCCACGCTCCCAGTGCAGGGGGCCCGGGTTCCATCCCTGGTCAGGGAACTAGATCCCACATGCTGCAACGAAGATCTCGCGTGTGGCAACATAAATAAATATTAAAAAAAAAAAAGATTTACAAAGGGTCTGAGTCCCTTGGCTCAGCTCTTCACTGGGAACCCCAGTGCCTTTTATTTTTTAAAGTATTTATTTATTTATTTGGCTGCATCAGGTCTTGGTTGCAACACGCAGGATCTGTGTTACGGTGCGCAGGCTTCTCTCTAGCTGTGGCGCGTTGGCTCAGTAGCTGTGGCTCGTGGGCTGTCTAGTTGTGGCACACGGGCTTAGTTGCCCCATGGCATGTAGGATCTTAGTTCCCCGAACAAGGATCGAACCCACGTCCCCTGCACTGGAAGGCAGATTCTCAACCACTGGACAACGAGGGAAGTCCCCCAGTGCCTTTTATACAAAAATACTATGGGGTCCTAATAGATGGGGGTCCTAATAGATGGGGGTCCTAACAGAAGGGGGTCCTAACAGAAACTAAAGTTAAAGGTATAAAAGTTAAAAGAATGGAGACAAAAGTTTATAAACTTTGGTATTAAATGAGCTTTATATACTGTCAACTGATTGGAGACAAACCTTAGGTTGTATTGTATGGGTAAATGTCATTAATATAGCTATTCCAAAATTTATACGGAATTCCTAAAATTCCTGGCATAATGTTATCAGTCATAATTCTAGTTATTATCTTAAAATGCTGTACATCACGGAAATATCCAAGTTTCTTGTCAATTGCATTGTAATCAGATATTTTTCTTTTTAACATCTTTATTGGAGTATAATTGCTTTACAATGGTGTGTTAGTTTCTGCTGTATAACAAAGTGAATCAGTTATACATATACATATATCCCCATATCTCCCTCCCTCCCACCCTCCCTATCCCACCCCTCTAGGTGGTCACAAAGCACCGAGCTGATCTCCTTGTGCTATGCGGCTGCTTCCTACTAGCTATCTATTGTAACCAGATCTTTAACCATGCCATTTTAAGTCTTTTGTGGTTTATAGACAACCACTGTTTTACTCTGGAGCTTTTACAAAATGAAGATCTTCAAGAAGATTCATAAAAAGAACTTTCTGGGACTTCCCTGGTGGTCCAGTGGTTAAGACTCTGTGCTTCCACTGCAGGGGGCGCAGCTTCGATCTCTGGTCAGGGAACTAAGATCCTATATGATATGCGGCGTGGCCAAAATAAATAAATAAATAAAAAGAACTTTTTGACAAATGTAAGTTTCTGATAACTTTTAGATCATACCACTGACTTGGGTAAGAAATTACAAAACTAATGAAAAACGTGATGACTTCATCCAGATCAACAGCAATTAATTAAAAACATGGGACTGAATGAACTGATAAGTATCATTTATAATTTTCTGAAATATACTGGCTTTTAATCTTTGTTTTCCAGGAAACCTTTCTTCTTAGGCTATGATCTAAAGCAAGTTGATAAAGTATACATTTGTAAACAAAGATGAAACATTTATCTTTCTACCTGATCCATCCAGAATTTGGCTTCTCCAGCTGGCTCTCTCCTGTGGACTTGATGTTTTTGGTTTTTTTTTAAATAAATTTATTTATTTTTGGCTGCATTGGGTCTTCGTTGCTGTGCATGGG